CACGTACTTTTAGATTGATGTCTCCTGGGCAAATGGCTTTTTGAACAATGTTCTTAGTTTCGTCGCTGGTCTTTGATTTATCACTAGGATAAATTGCAACAGAGCTTAAGGGGCTTGGTCGTACAAAGTTGTTGGTACCTTTTTTCACCATGTCGGCAAAAGAGCTATTTTGTGGCACGGATTTGGAGCAGGACTCTTTTATCGTCTCTTTAATTTGCGTTACATACTATTTCTTACTCTTTAATTTGCGTTAATACTATGTAGTGATAGAATATTGGGTTATAATGTTTTGTATATATTTTTATTACAGAAACTCGCGAGCGCGCAAGAATCACGTGGCTCGCTTCCACAGAGAAGGGCTGCAGTGTGACCATTGCAAAAAACGTTTCGTTAACAGAACTACGTTGGCAACACATCTCAAGTAAGTAGCCAGTATCTATGTATTCGACTGAAAGACTTGAATCTATGGTCATGAATAAAATTATTTAAAAAAAAGTACCCATAAGATCTTCTTCATTAAGATCGTCTTGCATTAAAGCTTGTTTTTTTTTAAATATATACTTTTTTCTTTTAGACTCCACGAAGGTCCGTTGCCTCGATCAGAATGTCCGATATGCCACAAGATGGTCCGAGTGATACAATTGAAGTATCACATTCAGAGACATCAGAATAAGAGTCGATACGAATGCACAGACTGCAACAAGACGTTCTCACATTTAGCTACGTACCAGGCGCATTTGAAGTATTCTAGAGCCCACGCTTCAGAGCAGGTGTTCAAGTAAGTCATGTATATATAAAATGTAACTAACGCACGTCCTGAAAATAGTTTGTTCAGAATCGTTAACTGAATCGATTTATACAAGGTGTTGTTTTAAAGCCGCGTCATTTTCTAGGAGGTAACTCGGCTATCGATTCTAAGTCCAAATCAATAAAAAAAATGGTAGGTAAATATTTAATATCATTTTTCTGTAGATTACAGAAATCCGTAAGTGTGAACTACACGCCTTGTAACTAGCTTTATAACGTGTCTTAACACACACAAACTCAAACACGTAATTGATATTATTCCTAATTCCATAAAACTCCAATAAGAAACATTGCTGTCGCTTTTCCTGAAATACTGTCGAACTTAAACGATTTATTATAGCCGTATTTTAAACTATTGGCCCGAACTTTTCTCTTACATTGACCTTTATGACTTCTGTGACATGCCCCCGAGAAATGATACGGCTTCAAAACTACACCTTGTATAATTTTTAGTATAGGTAATTTTTTATCCCAAAAATAATTAAAACTACGGAAATTATTGTCATATTAACCCTGTATTGTTAAAACATATCGAAATGGACCGTAAGTCAAAGCAATAAGACTTTTAAAATCTCAGTTTTTTTTTGTATTCATACAAATTCTATCATTCAATACAAAATAAAGAAAAATAAACCTTATGACAAGACTAGTAAGGATGCATATATATGTTAAATTAAAAATTTAGTGTGTGTACAGTGAAACCTGGTTAAGTGAGACATCAAGGGACCTGCAATATCGTTTCTCTTATAGAGGTATTCCACTTACCCAGTGTCTCAGATACACAGGTATAAATAAATATATGTCTCATTTACAGAGGGTTCCATTAATTGAGGTGGACTTGGAATTACGTGTGGAATTTGTGGGTAGAATAAGAATGAGTAAACAAACAATGTTATCTCAGTTACAGAGGTTTATGCATATAAAATTTATTCGCTGTCTCAGTTATAGAGATAACTATAATGATAAATCGAAAGAACAAATCCCAGATATAGAGGTTTACCTCATCCCACTAACAGAGGTAATTCAGTGCCAAAGTGTTGGGACCTCGGCATGAGTTCCAGTTATGGAGGTTTCTCACTTATCCAGGTCCCACTTAACCAAATTTCACTGTATTATGATTATAACATAATATTCTAATTGGGGTGTTTGAGGGGGTGCGTTAATTACGTTACATGTTGTATATCACCAGCTTCTGTGTTCTCGTGGACAAAAATAGATACGTATTTTGTTTTCTCGTATAAAATTACAACTGGGTATTGGCCAACTAGTCAAATTCAATACTTTTCGAAAATATGATGACGTCATAAGTTAGTTTTTAGTACAAAATTCATAGAACAATATCGTTTTTGACGTTTCGATAAAAGTATTCAATTTGATTAGTTGTAAAATACCGTATAATGATAAAAGCATGGCTCTCCCACACATTTTAGTGTGGGAGAGTCATGCTTCGGCATCGGCATTGCTGGGCCGGTTCGACCGTATGGTCGAACTAGCAGTGTGCTACGGTGATACCACCAACGAGCAGAAAAGAAGCAACGCTTGTTATGTTTCGTCGTGTGAGTGAGATTACCGGAGGCCCATCTACCCTCCCCCCTTCACCAATCTCCCCAATCCCTGAATCCCCAACGATCCTCAAACTCCTAATCCCCAAAAGGCCGGTAACGCACTTGTAACGCCTCTGGTGTTCCAGGTGTCCATGGGCGACGTCGATTGCTTAACATTAGGTGATCTGTCTGCTCGATTACCGGCTTATGCCATAAAAAAACAAAGAAAATTCAGTTTCATTTTTATTTCAGATTCCCTTGTCCAATGTGCAAGAAAGGGTATCCAACCAAAGAAGCGATGCAGGATCATTTCAATTACCAACATTTGGGCAAGACTACACATAAGTGTCCTATATGCAATAAGGTAGGTAACACGAAACATTATAATATGAAGTACAAGAAAATCAACAGGATAAACTATGTATATAAACTAATTTACTTATACAGTTTGGTATTTACTTATAAGTTGGCGAAAGGCAAAATTCAAATCACTGAGTACTTGCCAACTAGTAAAATTCAATCCTTTTTTCGGACTGTCAAAAACGACAGTTTTAAATTATTATGTTTTCGACTTACTCACGCAGTAATTTGACGAGGAACTCGACTAGTTTCAAGCCACGCTAGAGGCTCATATTCATGAGCAGCATTTCGCTACAGTCGCCGCGTCGCAGTATACTAAATAATAATGTATTTAGTATACTGCGACGCGCCTCACCCAGGCGGGAGCAGCCTTTGGATGATTTTCCCCCCTTAAAAAATACCATACATACATAAATACAGGTCATACTGTGAACCTCATTTTTTTGGAGTCGGTTAAATAAAAATACTTTTTTCAGCCCATAGCCTCCCGAGCGAATGTAGACAAACATATGATGAGGATACATGGCCAGAAAAAGGAGAAACCGCGGACGCATATATGTCAAGAGTGCGGGAAGCCGTTTACGGTAAGTGCATGGAAAACTTAGAATATTAATTAGCCGTTTTTTAATAACAACTACAGTAATAAAACTAACATCACACCTTTTATCCCTGAAGGGGTAGACAGAGGTGCAAATAACGGCACTTAATGCCACTGTACAATTTTACACCTACTTTTTACTATTTGTGTAGAGGTGAGATACCATGCGATTCTGAACCCCGTGCTACTACTAAGACTTATTTTAAAAAGCCAGTAGTACTTTGCCCGACCCGGGATCCGAACCCGAGACCCCTTGCCGCACTTGCAAACACTCGGCCTGTCAGTTTTTAACAGTTCGAAAAATGTTTTGAATTTCACTAGTTTGCAAGCACCCAATTATTTCCATCAAAAAACAAGTCTTTGGTCTGCAATCAAATAACAAAATAATATATTTTATTTCAGGACAAAAAAGCGCTAACACAACATGAAGTAATCCACTCGAGTGAACGACCTCTCTCCTGCGACATATGCCAGCAGACGTTCAAGCAAAAAGCGTCCTTATATACACATAGGAAGAGAGTACATAAGGTAATACCTAACAAGCGGCTCGTGGAGTATATGGACGATGATGTACAACATTGTAAGGTTGAGAGATTTGTTGTATGAGATTGGGGTCAAATGAGTTAAATTCGGGGTCGAATGAGTTGATTTTAAGATCAAATGATTCATTCTGGGGTCAATTTAGTTGATGTTGTAATTAATAGGTTGAGCCTGGGGTCAAATGAGTTGATTATTTGGGGTCAAATTTGTTAATTCTGGTGTTAAATGAGTTGATTTTTTGGTCAAATGAGTCGTTTTTTTCGGTCGTTTCGGTAATTCTGTGCGGTCGTTGGAGTAATCTATCAAATTTCATCCCCAATTTGATTGCAAGCTGTATTTTTCTAATTTATCACTATTTTTAACGTAGTTATAATTTTATTATACGAAATATCCCAGGTACAAATTTGATTCAATATAAATATTCAGATAGTCAACATAATTGTCATCTCACTGCACGGGCTGACTGGTGACTGGGCACCTAGCTGCTGCACAACGTGTCGTGGTATCGATTCCCACTCGGAGCAACTCTTTGTGTGATCCCCAGATTGTTGTTCTGGGTCTGGGTGTCATCTGTATGTGAAATTGTATGTTTGTAAATGCACCCACGACACAGGGTAGATACCAAGTGTGGGGCAAAGTTTTCTTTAAAAACAAATGCTGCATTGAGCAACCGTAGTGATTAATGCTCTTACCTTCTCCGTGCGAGAAGAGGTCTTCGGTCAGCAGTGGCCACTTAAATAGGCTGTTGACGATGATGCTTCCAAAATACACAATTTCAGTATTTTAACATAAAGAACGGGATATTTCGTATAAAGATTGATATTAGAAATAAATGAAACCTAATTATGTATGATTTATAATGTTTTTTCATTATAATTGTTAAAGAATCTAATCTATTAAAATTATGCGCCTTTCCGTTGTAACGATAGTGTAATATCGCTGGTAATGCTTAAGATATAAAGTCGATATTTGTGCAATGCGATTTTTAAAGGGTTGATGACCTTAAGCTGTCATCTTGAAATGACAGTTCATGTTATAATGACAGTTGACGTTATTATCTTGTGTCAAAATTGATTATCTATGACTTAATAAAATCGCATTGTAATAAATATTATTATCTTAAATGTGTTGTTATTTAATGCTTAGTTGTAATCATCTTTAGGGCTCATACACTAAACTGCGATGCGACCTCGCATCGCAAAAATGTGCGAACTCCCTCCACGCATCACAAGAACTTGCGAATTGATTCGCATCGCGCATCAAAATCTTCTTTGTTTCTTTTTCCTGTATCTCCTAAGCAATAACAGAAGTGCACATTTCTCTTTACGATCCATTTCACGATCTAGTTTTCAATTTAAAATACGTTTAGTACGGTTGACGGTCGTCGAAGGAATGGTCACCCTGGGAGACGCCTTGTCGCACGAAATCGCATCGCAGCAATTCGTGTCGTGAGTTTTTGCGTTGCGAATTCGCATCGCAGTTTTGTGTATGAGCCCTTAGTCAGAGGGATTTTAATTAAAATCTTATAATACCAAGTCTTTCTCCACAAATCAAGTCAACGAAGCTAGACAATTTTAAACTGGTTTTCGTCAAAAACAGCATACTTATCTTTTTAAAATTTGCCGGAAACAATACTAAAATAAGTTGGTCATAAAATCAATTATTGTAAGTGTGATTTTTTAAATATTTGATTGTATTGAACAGTCGTAATCATTAATTTTTGATTAAGGAAACTACTCAATTGTATGCTTTGTACCGAAGCCATATCTCGTGTAACCATTCGTGGACTCAGTAGACAACCAATGGTTACTGTCTCTGTACTCAATCAATCATTATATTGTTCCATGCGTACTGAATAAAATGGCATAGAGATTACTAAATTCAAAGGCTCGCAAAATAAAGGTGTTAATTGAAATTCCTCTCCAATGTGTTAACAAAATAAACGCCTTGCACATAACTTTCTGAAGACATTTTACTGAACTTTTTTTATTTTACAAATATACCTGATGCTATACACCGTGATATTTTAATGGTTGTTTTCCCACAGTAAAATGATTCCATTTTAGTAGTACAATAGATTGAGAAAGTTGTTTTTAATTTAAATAAAAAAATAGCAGTTTTACGATAGTGATACACGAAACTTGAAAGAAACCGCGAACCAATAGTACCGCCGCGACCGGCCACCGGCCGCTGTCATTGTCGCTCGCGCTTATCAAAAGGCTGATAACTCAGTATTTACTAACAAGTGATTTCCATTTTCCCTTCATACTTTAACGGGCTTAGGACCGTCGTAAATACTTTTTAACTACACTTACTAAACACAAACATAAAACAAAATTTAATCAAGAGATATTATCTTGTTTATTACTGAATTTGGGAAAGTATTTATGGCGTATTTAAAAAATGGGAATCAACGTATTTACAATGATTTTAATCACCTATCTTATTGTTTTATTTACAAATGTACAAGTACTTACACTTCCCGGTAACGGAGCAATTGTTCAAAGTGTAAGCCACCGCGTTCCACACACAATCGTGCACGTTTTAACTGATTGGCTTTCAATTTTAATAATGTGTCTCTGTCACGTCTAATCACATCAAAAGCGTCCACTATCGCACTTTTTAACGCGTCGCGAGTTTCGTACTCTTGCCGATACACAAGGCGTTTGAGATTAGACCACAAATAAAAGTCTAGTGGAGTAAGATCCGGGCTTCGTGGTGGCCATGGCACTGGCCCGCCACGACCGATCCAACGCTGGGGAAACACCGAGTCGAGGTGCTCTCGCACGGCGCGCTGATAATGCGCAGGGCAACCATCGTGCTGGTAATACAGGCCATCCATGGGCACTGCTAACGGAATGTCATCTAGTAAGTCCGGGATAACACTACGTAGCATTTGTAGGTACGTTTCACCGGTTAAGTGTCCTGTCACAAAATGCGGACCAATTAAGCAGCCGTTTATTATACCGGCCCACACGTTTACACTAAACCGCACTTGATGCGCACATTCCCGAATAACGTGTGGGTTATTAAAAGCCCAAAAATCATAATTCGCCCTCGCGTACAATTGCACCATAGCTACGTACTCCACATTAGAAAAAACGTAATGGCGATCCATTTTGGCGGCAATAATATTGTACTGCGCTTGCGTGGTTGCGCGGACGGCGTTCGCGGTGCGACTGGTGTGAATGAAAGCGATGCGAGGCGATGCGGGCCGATGCGAGTGACAGAGAGCGCGGTGGTTGCCTTTGTTGTTTGTCGTGAGGCGATCCGCTCGCGCGCGCGTGCATTGCAGTTTATGCTGTATTACTTAGTCCGAGAGATTATTTTACTATGAACATTGATTTGACGTCACATTTTAGAAGAGAAACTATCGTTTCTCATGCTTTCGAGTTGATGATTATTTTTTTGAGTATATGAGGAGAAAAAAAA